TCTTACGAAACAGTTTTCGTATCCAAAAATCTTCAAAATATTTTCCACGTGTTTGATAGAAATGATTCTGTTAAAAGGCCTCTTCAAAATCTATACGACGGACCCTATAGTGACTGAAAGAAAAAAAATATATTAATTTGGACTTGGGAGATAAACATGATCCATGATCATATTTTAATAGACCGCCTAAAATTGGCACACTTCGAAAATACCTTCTCTTTATCTCAATTAGATAATTATTTTAAATTTAAAATAATACAAGTGACCTAAATTTTGACAATTCTGAAGTACCCAAACGCAGATTACGTTTTAATGCATAAATTTTGTTAAAATTATTGTTACGTGTTATACGCGCTATTCTGTTTTATTTTTGTATTGAGGGTATTGTAGTCTATGCCATCCCTGTGATAGTATATTACATTACGAGTGTGGAAAGGGACATTTTTCACACGAGTGGGAAAGATTGTACGAGGCATAAGCCGAGTGCGACAATCACGCGATTGTGAAAAATCACTTTTACACAAGTGATGTAGAATATTTTTTCTACGACCACAAAATAATTTTATCAAAAAAATGTAAAACTAGGAAATCTGGCTATAAAGGTTCCATCAAGATTTTGGTTTTAGATTTGTTTTTTATATGACTTACTGAATAATTTTTAAAGCCTTTAACACATAGTGTTTTGTCAAAATTAAAAATATTATGATTCCATTTATAAACAATTTCATATGATGATAAAAATAAAATAACATCAGGTACAAAAAATATTAGATTACATTAATGTTTTATATTACCTACTTTATTTTTTTTTTTAACAAAAAAGTTGAAAAACCGTAAACAAAAACAATTTTTATTATTAATGATTAGCCACTACTCTACTCACAATTTTTATCTAAACAGTAATTAATATAGTATAAAGTAAATAGCGAAGAGAATATTGTAGGTGTTATATTATGATAAAAAACATGTATTTTAATAAATATACAATAATAGTCGTATTTTTCCCATTTTCATATTTTTTTAAAATAAAAAAAAATAATGGTCGCGAAATTCCAAGTTGAAAAAGTTAGATACTATATGATCTGCACTATTACCGTTTTGTCATTTGACTTATCTAATTATATATGTATATGGACCAGGAAAAACAAAAATAATGTACATAGGTAGTTACTTTAAAATTCTATTAATAATTTGTAAAAACGAAATATGTAAGATCTATATTTAAATAATAATAACAATTTAATCATCAAATCAATTTTACTATTTAATTTTAATAGTAAAATTGATTTGATGATCAATATAAATATAGTTTAAAAAAACTAAAAAACACGCTTTTAGAGCATATCAAACTAAAAAGTTAAAAATAATTTTTCAAATAAGCTTAAAACAATAATAAATGGAAAATACTAGTATTATTGTGAAAAAAGCGTGATGCGCTTTGTCCATATTTCTCGTACATCGAGCGTCCGATGCTTTTTTCACAATAATATTAGTATTTTCCATTTATTATTGTTTTAAGCTTATTTGAAATAGTTATTTTCCTAACAAGTGCGGAAAGTGTTACTTTCCCGCACGCGACTGCAGTTGGCCCGAACGACGCGAAGCGGAGTTCGGGCAAGCGGTCAAGTGCGGGAAAGACACTTTACGCATGAGTTAGGATCATTATTTTTTCTACGACCGTATATACAAAAAAGTAGGAAAACTTATTTTTGGAAAATTATTTTATTTCAACATATACAAATCTTTAAATAAAAACAACTAATTATTATGGATATTAATGTTAAATACACAATTTGTAGCATTTTGTAAATTATGTAAAATTGCCGGTAAAGAGGAATTAGTTGGTGTTAATTGGCTGTTAATAGTCGTAACGCTCGTAGATTGAAAAGATGACGTGGACGGGAGTGACATCGGTTGCAGGTCGCATGAAGGTGAAAATGACGGTGGCAACAAAGGTTGCAAGTCATTTCTATTTGAAAGAATTTTATTCGAAATGTTTTTCTTCTGTGTTTCGGAGTCCTCCAAATAGCCTTCAGCGATAGTAGTGGACTTCCAGCCACCGAGACGTTTTATATTGGTTATCGCTTCACCTGAGTCTGCTAGGAATGTTGCTGAAGAACGTCTAAAACTGTGTCCTGTATATCGTTCAGGATTAGATAGACGCAAATATGCAGCAATCTGTGTTGGCATCTTACCAAAGGTGCTTACGCCAACGCACTGAATTGAGCATTTTCCCTTCTTATAATTAATAAAAAAGCGGCGATGCGGAGTGGTAGGTGGTCGTAAACCTGCGTACTTTCTGTACAGCTTCAGAAAGTTTCCATTATTTATTTCTTCACATAAAACAAATGATCTTGAAGAATGATTTTTGGAATCGGAAATTTTCACAACTATCAGATTGCCTTTATCTTGTATATCATCGAGAGTGATATTTACAAGCTCCGCTCTGCGGAGAGCACCAGCTAAAGCAAAAATGGTACTTACTTTAATCATAAGGTATACCTCATCAGGGGCTAACATAAACCTGGATATATCTTCTTTGGTAAAAACCTGCGCCTTCTGTGCTAGAAAACCAACATTTTTTTCAAAAAGGTAAATCAAACGAGGGTGGTCCTTAGGATCTCACAAGAGTAAAATACTCTTGTGAGATCCTAAGGACCACCCTCGTTTGATTTACCTTTTTGAACTTATAACTCACACATGGCTACCACCTTCAACTTTAATCAACATTTTTTTGTTTTAGAAATGACGTTAACTTATGGAACTGGCTTATATCCAAATTTTGTTTTATTTTTACTAAACTTTTCACCATCGAATAGCGAGACCATAAAGTATTAGATTTCAAAAACTTACTTAGGTGCGAAAAATACGCCAGAAACACCTCTTCTTTGTAGGTTTTTACCCCTTCCTGTTTACACCATGTGACAAAATGGTCGTATTGTTTTTCATATCTTCCTCGTGATTTGGCAGGTAACACCTCCAAATGTGCTTCATTTGCAGCTTTTAAAATGGCTTAGGGCAGCTCTTCATCCGATGAATCCATTATTTCTTTAATTTATTTTAATTCAGTTGACGCTTCAACAAACAACTTTGACGTTTTTGTAACAATAACACGCCTTGGTTACTATATAGCAACCATATCAAGCCATACATGTCACAGCCTAGTCTGACTTTTAAAAATATACAGAAGGTATATAAAAATATCTCTATTATTCAAGTTTTCCAAAAAATTAAAATTATAACAAAAAGCAAGAAAAAAAGTAAATTTTATTAAATGGAATAGTTGGAAAATACTAAATTACCTATTGTAACAATAGTTATAACATCCTAGGTAAAAAAACTATACAATAGGTAAGGCCAAATATTCATAGTGCGGGAAAGTGACACTTTCAAAACTAAAATGCGTGCGGGAAAGTGGGTAAAAATACACGGTCGTAGAAAAAATTATTTTTAACTTTTTAGTTTGATATGCTCTAAAAGCGTGTATTTTAGTTTTTTAAACTATATGTATTTTTCACTTTTTAGTTGTATGTATTATAAAATTATTATAAAATTATTAGTTTTTTTAAACTATATTTATTTTTTACATTTTAGTTCGATTAATTATTAAAAAAAAAAATTGCTGAAAAATAGTATATTACGCAACGATCATGTAATGATGGTTATTAATACACGAGCATTAACCGGGATACGAAACGAGCCAAAGGCGAGTTTCGTATGGTTTATGCGAGTGTTTTAATAACCATTACATGAGAGTTGCATACGCTATTTTTTCTACACCCGATAAATAATCAAGACCTATAAATATTATATTTATATTGGTATTGAACACAATAACAGTAATTACTCGTATTTCTATAAAAAATTCTACAAAATTGTAATTAATGGTATTACTTCAGGTATTGGTATTTCCCTAGATTTTTGCGGTAAAATATTTTGTACTGTATTTTCTGCTTTCTCCGATATGTGTGAAGGAGTCTTCTATATCGCTAATATCAGACATTTTAATATTATAATTATCGAAGTTTAGCTACCTACGAAAATTCAATACGTTTTGACAACTAAAATAATTACATAGGAACCTAGGACAAACGTCAAACAGCATGCTTGATTGAAAAATTGTAGGTTTCTATTGATTAAAAATCTGTATCGTAATGAAAAATCTGTATCATAATGGGTATCATTATGAAACGGATTATGGGCATATAAGTGCATTATTATAATACGGGTGTAGAAAAAATTATTTTTTTTTCAACCGTGGGCATTAGAACCCTCGATCGGTGAGTCTGGCAATCGAAAATCTGCGCTTTAGACCGCTCGGCCACGAACGAACTTGGTTTAGTGGGATATACTGACAGTAATAAGCCACTTAAGTCCAAAAGAGAGTTACAAACATACATACATACATACATACAGGTGAAGCTAATATAAGCATGTTAAAAAATAGAAATTAAACGTCTGACATATTTGACAGCTTATACGGAAAGTAGATTCATATTTACATACAGGTGGAAAGTAGATTTATCCACACCACATACTTTGATTTTCTTTTACTATACGGAGAATAGTCGCACTGCGCAGCCTTGTGAGTGCCTTTTAAAAGGAGATAGAAAACTCCGCCATTTTGAACCCTTATTACGTGTTGCCTACATTTTAGCGCAATATTTTTAATAGGTGCGTTTTAATCATCCGCTTCTGCTATGTTTTGGACCTCAAAAAAAGTTTATTATTTATTATTTAAATTTAAATTTAAGAAATATTGCAACAAAGTTTGAAAACTTTTGTAATTAGTGTGAATAGATTATCTTTAATGACTGGTCTATTATTTTAAAACCTTGCACCAGTACAATTTTTTTTATATTTATCATTAAAATGCTAAATAGAAAACGTAATTGATTTTTTTATTTAAACAATTTGAAGTACCTACTCTATACAATGTAAGATTAGATAATTCGCTTTGGCTATTACAATTTTGATAATACAAACCAGTTTCAATAGATATGTCTCCAATAATCCTTGTAACACTAGTGTTATTTCAAGTGTATCAATTAGAAGCAGCCCGAATATTGGGGGTAATTCCATCAGCTGTTAGAAGTCACCATATTCCTTTTCAACCGTTATGGAGAGAACTTGCTCTAAGGGGTCACGAAGTCACAGTTATAACTACAGAACCTCTAAACAATTCTTCTTTAGAAAATTTAAAAGAATTGGATATAAGTTACTGTTACGAAATATATAAGAAACATAAAGTTGTCGAAGCTATGGCTAGCGAAAATAATAGTTACTATGATATCGCTGCCGTATTTAAAAAAGCTTTCGTAGAATGCCATGAGTATTTGCTCTCTTCACCAGGAATACAAGAACTAATCCATAATAAGGATATCAAATTCGATTTGTTGATCGCTGAAGCACAACTACCTACAATGTTTGCGTTTGCCTGGAGATTTAAGTGCCCCAGCATTGCGATAGCATCCCTGGAACCAGCTCTACAGTTCCACGACTCTCTTGGAAATCTAGTCCATCCCTTGATTAGCCCGGATCCCAATTTAAACATAGAAGATGATTTAAATATGAGTTTTATGGACAGGGCTAAAAGTTTCTTTTATATTTTACTTTATAAGCATTTAGTTTACAACAAAGCTTATCCTTCATATGATGTTCTTATGAAGAAATATTTCGGTGAAGAATTACCTACCTTAAAAAGTATTCAAGATGATATAAGTATAATGTTAGTTGGCTCAAATCCATTGTTTAATAGTATGAGACCAACGAATTTGAACACTATTTCGGTTGGAGGGGGCATGCATGCTCAACCTTACAAAAAACTACCTGCTGTAAGTTAATTTTACACATATTGATAATTTAAGTTATATGGAGGGCCACTTAAAAGTTCCACTTTCTTTTATCTTCGTTATTAATTGAAATTTCGGAATGATTTTTGTTTTGTCTAAAAGTTTGAAATAACTTTACGTAAGTTGGCTTTTTTATTATTAGTTTTATAAAAAAATGTATCCTTCATAATATTTTGCATGGTTAAGCTAGCAGAGAAACTTGATTTTCGCAAAAAACGAGTAGCATAAAAATAGCTTTAAAATAGCCTAAAAATATGGCATATGTTTCAATTCAAAATTGCCTAGGTGCTCTGCTGCCTTCTTTGACATTACAAATTAGCAATGACTATCCAATATAAAAAAATCCAAGCTTGTTGGTCAAATTAGTTAATTGTTAGAAGTTATCAAAAAACGCTATGTAATATCAAAGAAGGTAGAAGAGCACCTAGAGAATTTTGAGTTGAAACCTATGCCATATTTATAGATGTTCTATTTAAAAATTTTATAATCTTCGTTTTTTTGCAAAACTCAAGGTGCTCTGCTAGCTTCGAACGAATCCAGCAGAGCACACCAGTTTTTTAAAGCTAGTTCAAAAAACAACCACACTATATTTTTTAGGTTATTTTTAGACCTTTGAAATATTAAAACACTTTTAAAAAATTGCTATGATGCCACATACTTTTATTTTCTTTTACTATACGGAGAATGGTCGCACTGCGCAGCTTTCTGAGTGCCCTTTAAAAGGAGATAGAAAACTCCGCCATTTTGAACCATTATTACGTGTTGCCTACATCTTGGCGCAATATTTTTAATAGGTGCGTTTTAATCATCCGCTTCTGCTTCGGAATTGTCGGTTTTCTTGTTTTAATCTGACAGGTTAAAACGACTAAACCGACAATTCCGGAAGCAGAAGCGGATGATTAAAACGCACCTGATATTTTGCTTGCTGCTGTCAGTGTCAGTGAATATTATTTTTAAAGTCACAGTTTATTGCTAAAGAATCAGTTAGCTCACTCGGACCAGTTGAAAGTTCCTAAATAACATCCACTCCAGGGATACAAATTCAGGATACGATATTATAGGCGGTTGTCATATATTGTATTATCCGAGTTGCACAGTGTATAAACAGGGATCAAAATGGCCGCGCCCTATGTTGGGCGTGTCGGACCTCTCTCTTGCCTCGTATAGTAATCAAAGTATATGTATGATGCTATGATGACCATGTTGAAATACATGGTCATATATACTTGAAACAAAATTTGATTTTTCTCGAAAACGGTCTGCTTTAGAGCGTATGATCTAGAGTAACTTTTTTGTGTAGAAAACATTGGCGGTTCAAATGGGCGTCTCAAAACCGTACTTTTTCCAGTGGCGTAGAATTTTTTTTTTAATTTCAACACCCTGTATTTCGAAAATGGTGCATTTTAGAGGGTAAGTTAATAGAAACGTTTTTTCATATTTTTGGACGAGCTATCACGTCCTGAAGTCCTGCGCATATATTATGAAACACCCTGTATATTATAATTTTACAGTTATATTAAAATGGCGAGTGCATTCAAAAATATTGCAAACACAAGTACGCGTAGACGACCTAGTGGACATAAAGCATTATCTTTAGAAGAATAAATATCGTACTGAATGTATTTAATAATCTTCGAAAAGACTTTGTTCCACTTTCTATGGATGAAATAGCCACTAAATGTGAGACATGTACTGGAGTATCTAATCGTACAGTGTATAACATTATTAAAGAATATACAGTTATTGGATAAGTCTCTCATCCGAAAAAGCCCCCAGGAAGAAACTATATCTTCATTGAAACTTGGGTAAAGAATGTAATAAGGCAAATAGTACATTGTTTTTTCTTTCGAAATGAAATTCCTACACTCAAAAAAGCATACCCAGAAGTAGTAAATAGCCCAACTCATCCAAATACCTATATCATATTTTTATCTGCAAAAAATATTACATGAATTACATTTTTGTTACAAAAAAACATGACAGAAACAAATTTTTAACAGAGAAAGACGAAATCATTGCATGGAGGCATGATTATTTAAGGAAAATAGCGGACGCAATGCATCAGCATAAACAATTATTTTATTTAAATGAAACATGGGTTAATGCTCGACATACAGTAACAAAAATTTGGCAAGATACCTCCATCAAAACTAAAAAAACAAGCCTTTATGAAAGGGGTCTCTTGTGGATTAAAAAATCCAACAGGAAAAAGAAATCATTTAATAATAACCCACATTGGAAGTACCGATGGATTTTTGCTAGATGGTTTATTAATGTTCGAGTAAAACAAAACAACAGACCACCATGAAGAAATGGATGGCCCTATGTTTGAAAATTGTTTACAGAACATTATAAAAAAAATTCCAGCCAACTCCGTTATCGTTTTAGATAATTCATCCTATCACAGTAGATTAAAGAAGACACTACCTACAACAAGTTGGAAAAAAGAAGATATTTCAAATTGGCTTCATTCTAAAAGCAAGATAAAACAAAATTCAAAAAATATATTATAGACCAGATGACCCCAGAAAAAGGAATTAAAATTCTCAGATTGCCTCCTTACCACGCCAAGTTAAATCCCTTTGAACTGATCTGGTCCAAATTAAAATGTTATGTTTCTCGAAACAATACAACATTTAAATTACCTGACGTGTGAAATATGTTTTTGAATGCAGTTTCAGATGTAAATAGGGAACATTGGAGAAAATGCACTGTTCATGTTAATTAGGTGGAAAATTCATTTTAAAAAGTGGATATAGCAATGGAAAATTTAATAGACCCTATATTAATAAACCTCAGAAAAGACAATAATAATGAGACCAGTAGTTATAGTGAAGACAGTGACTTTTAAAGATAGTTCTTAAACTTTTTGTTTTTTTAGTCTTTGATTTTAGTGTTAGTGTTACTTTTAATGCCAAGATATTAAAAAATGGTTTAAAAACATATAATCCAACTTGTTATTTATTGTTTAAATTAATTCGTTCTATGTTAAAGTGCAACAATTTGATCAGAATCATAAGGTTTATTTTTATTTTTTTGTAAATAATTTAACTTTTTTCATTCAAAATTTAATCTACAAAGTGCGTATATATCAATTTATATGCCGTGATCTTAGATTGTGACCTTATTTATATTATAGAAACATATTTTTCAAAGTAGGCCTTTGGATTGTGAAGTTATATCCCCACTTTTACTGCACTCTTCTTTTATTTAGACTAGAAATAACCATCCTTATTCCAGATATATGACAGATACGAGAAATGTGACACATAACGTTAGCAGATAAACTTTATCATTAAAACAAAGGTAGTGTTTTATTCTAATAATGAAAATAATACTATAAAACTCATTAAAATCAAAACCTGTGAAGGCACTAACATATCTAATTAGTGATTTAAACAGATTTGAGAACGTACCTATTCATTATTATTATTATTACCGTTACTATATTGTTAAGCAAAGGCATGATGCGAATTATCTATTTTATCGTATTATTCTGTTTTTTATATATATTATATTTTTTAATTTTAAATGTACTATTTAAATTGTTTGCATATTCAAATGTACCATAGATAAAGAAGTGTACTATAAACAAACAAACTGGAAAATAAATATATCCTTTGTATCGTTTATATTTCAGGATTTACAAACATTTTTGGACGAAGGTGAAGAGGGCGTAATCTACTTCAGCTTGGGCAGCAATATTAATTTAAATTTACTAACTGACAATTTCAAGAAAGCAATCGTAGAGGCGTTTGCAGAAGTTCCATACAAGGTTTTGCTGAAAATGGACGGCCAATTAAATAATGTATCGAAAAATGTCTTAGTGAGAAAATGGATGCCACAGCAAGATATTTTCAGTATGTATTTTTGTTGTAATGTACATAATGCATATTTATAATTATTATAACAACTATATATTCAGTGTTGGCAAGATCAAACTGGGAACTTCGATACTACTTCATTTCCTCAACTGTCATTTACCATTCACTCCAATACAAACTAAACAGGACCGAAGGTTTGATCATGCTAGCATATATGAAAGGGTAAGCCACTCAAAATGTCTACCCATCACAGCTTACTTTAATGATGGAAAGCCTATATTCCCTTTTTTTGTTATGCATTAAATTCACTCGCCTCTACGCTATCATCTCTTTGCTATCACCTCTATTGTAAAACATGGTCCTCGACACCCTCATCAGCCGCCTCAATAATAACAGTCACTACATAATAGCGTATGCAGATCATTCTGCAAATATGGACTTGAGAACACACTCTGCGAAAGAATCTAAGTAACTCTCAAAATTATAGAACAGTGATGCAAGGATCATTTACTGTCTATCAATCGCAAGAATACAGAAATGGTCTTTTTCACAAGGAGAAGGATGAAAATGGAATTAAAACCTCCAAAACTTTTAAACACAAAACTAAACTTTGCAATAGAGGTGAAATACCTAAGTCTCATCTTTGACAGCAAGTTAACATGGAACTTAGCCCAAGAAGGCTTAGATAAGGCCATGACAGACCCCGAACCCTTCTGTGGAGTTACTAAGGCATTGTGCAAAGCATCTATCAAACAATGGATGTAACAAGAGTCTCAGGAATGGTGGAACAACTATCCAATACTGAGACAGGCCAAACAGTTCATCAAGGAACCATCGACCAAGTTCACGAAAGACCTACTGGATCAAAAGCGTCAAATCGTTAGAATTACAGTAGGTATTCTTACTAGACACTGTCGCCTTAGAAGACACATGAGTGTCATCAATCCAACAGTTCACGTCCTGTGCAAATGTGAAGGCCTGGCTAGAATGAGGTTTCTTATATTAGGCGAACAAAAGCCAAACGCATGCAACTACATGCGGAAGCCACTTTCAGAGCTACTATGTCTAATAAAAAAGACCAAGCTAGACGACATACTCTAAAACAAACGGAGTCCCACAATAGATCTGAAAAGGTCGTGGTGGAAAAGGACAAATAATGTCCAACTCCTTGTAATTTAATCTACACGGCTAACATGCGGTGCAGTTGTCTACGTATAAAATATCGAAAGGTAACCGTATTGCTGATTCACTAGCCAAGAAGGCAGCCAACCAAATACTTTTTGGACCTGGCCCTTCTATTGACCTGACAATATCGGTAGTGGCAGACTCAATTAAAGAACATTCTCTTGTGAAATTTAAGGAAAGATGGGATGAAAGAAATTGCAGAGTTGCCAGGGAGCTTTTAAGTTATCCTGAACAACACTTTAGCAAAAAAATACTTGACTATGACTAGACAGAATCTGCGTTTGAACACAGGCATTCTGTCTTGTCATCTTGATATTATGGGCCTGCAGGGCTGTAAATAAGAATATTATCCGACGTTTTCATTTATTAGAAGATTTGTATTCGGCGAGTATCGGCTAACACCGGCCGATATAAGAGAAGCACTTCTTGGAGACGTTGTTAACTACATTCAGTCTGTAGGCTGGCTCACGAGCTAGAAAGTGTCTATTAGATTAGGAGGATGCACAATGGACCTAGTGAGTCCACCCTCCACACATCACAGCTTTAGACAGGGGCCTATACCTTCTTTTTTGTTATGCCTTAAATTCACTCGCCTACATTAAGGTTGAGCGAGAATAAGAAGTCACAAAGTAACGCCATCTGCACCTATTAAGCAAAAATTAGTAAGCAAAATCAATGCTGGTCACGGTCTTAGCCAGAGGAGTAGTTGTTTTCTAAAGGAAAACGGTCGCTCATATATGACACATGGCTTGAAGAATTTCTTGTTTTCATTTATTTTACGTCTTGGTGATATTTATTAAGTTTGGAAATATTTTCGTTTCTCAAAAATTGCCGCTTGCCTTTTTTAAGTGGGTTCTAAAAGCTTTGATATTGCTCACTAAGTGCAGATGGCGTTATTTTGTGACTTCTTATTCTCACTTGACCTCCGTACATGTAGGCGAGTGAATTTACCGTATCTGCAGATTCCATTAGGGACTGGAATCGACATTGTCTATTTCTTTCTGATGAGTTCTTATGGATCAAACCGGTCCAAGGATGACGTTCTCGTTAGTAAACAAAATCAAAGTTGGAGTGTTGAAAATTATTACCTATTTCTTCTGTTTTCTTTGGATATAATTCATTGCCTGTTTTCTTTTTTTTATTTTTATAATTAAATATTATTCATCATATATATCACGTTTTTTAATCCGTTTTTATTTGAGTTTGAAACTTGTGTAGTAGAATTAAATACTCTCTTATATTAAGTAACTTTTTTAATTAATACCTATATGTATCAATTTTGAAAAAAAAATATTTTTCGGATTTTGGTTACTATAATAAAAGACAGCTCTATTGAAATATAAAAATCTAAACGGTGCTTCTAAAGATTCGACATAAGAAAAATTGACATACCACTGATCATTTAGAATCGCCGTTGGAAGGCACTGTCTATTGTATAAATGTTTCTTGCTTCTAGAAAAAGTTGTGTATTACGGAGTGAGATGTAGCTCGTTAGATATTTTAAATCATGTCTAGACAGTCGTCCTTCAATAGGTTTAATAAAAAAATGTAACTTCTGGTTTGCATCGTCTAGAGCATGGAGTACCGCAGTTCTTGGACCACTACTATTTATAATTTATATGAACGATCTTTTTAACCAAAAGAATAATATAAACTCTATTTTGTTTGCTCACGATGCAACTTCGTATTCCAATTTCAGAAAACTTCAACTCAAATATAATTAATAAATTAAATATAATTCGGTAAACTTACTTGGAATTTCATTTGATAACTCTTTAATGGTATCAACATGTTTCAAATCTGTATAACTCTTTATCCTGTCATATTTATCTTCATGCATAATTGTTACAAAACCATTTTATTTCAATTTTCAGGACACAAAAATATTAAGTTATTCATTACTCAAGGTGGTTTGCAATCTCTACAAGAATCCGTCTTAAATGGAATACCCCTGATTGGAATTCCCTTTTTTGGAGATCAATTTACAAACGTAAACAAAATGGTCAAAAAAGGATATGGATTAAAAATTGATCGAAGTACGATTACCAAAAATGCACTTGTTACGGCAATCAAGGAAGTCATTCAGAAACCCAAGTAAGGGACTTTAGCTTTAGTTATTCGAAAATATAATATAACACAATAATATAGCTTCTACAGAACGACAGAAATAGCTGAAGCCGCCAATGTTTTATATAGAGTGAATAGACGTGCAGGCAGTGACGGCTGTGGCATAAGTGCTGTAGAACTGCAGAACTACCAAAAAATTATCTATCTACATTTGACATTTGAGAGAAACTTGTATTTTTTTGGCTGTTCTGCATATCTACAGCACTTATGCACCAGCCGTCACGGGCAGAGAGCTAATTTCATTCCGCTTATTCGAGGTGATCGTTCTCTGTATCGTGGTTAACTTTAGCGCATCTTGCGTCTTTTGTATTCCTGCCGATGTGTAACCTGAGTTATAATAGTTATATTAAGAGTGGAACTGGGTTTTTAATAACTTTGATTTTATATATTATTGTTCTACAGTTCTCTATTATTGGACTTGGACTTTAAGATGACCAATGTATCTTTATTTTTCAGATTAAATGGTACCCTCTGTTTGGTTGCCGTTCTTTTGAGCGTTTTATAAATTGTTTCCTTCGGTTTTTCTTGTATTCTTCTTGGTCTATTTTTATGTCTTCCAGCCTCACTTGTGTGTTTATTTGGTCTAAGACTATTTGTTACAGTCTTTTGCTTGTTCGTGGCTTTTAAAAACACTATTTAGTTTTTCAGCTTCTCCTTCAAATCTTTGAGATTAGATTACCATTTAATTTCTACAATTTTTTAAACATTGCCTTTACTTGAGTTTCAAGTAATTCCGGTTTCTTTAACTTCTCGAATAACCTCTTTACATCCATCGATGTTAGATCTAAATACGCGGTTTATTTTTTTGACTCTTCTCAGAGTATGAAATATTTCTGTACCTTTTTGAGATGTCTAAAACTTTAGTGGGGTTTTTTAACACCTCTGTTCCTATATCAATATTCCTTTTTTCTTTTTTTCTTTTGGAATTGTAACAAAAACTGCTTCTGCTTCCTTAGTTTTGAAATCATGCTTCCTGCGCCTTGTATACTCTGTCTTTCTATGCGTCCCTTCCTTTTGTCCCCTGTTTTACCTTTAGTAATTTTATGCATCTAGGTTCCACGAGAAGCTAGGGAGATAATCGTCTATTAGGAATATTCTTTCCTTCTTTTAAGAGCTGTTCTGTAAAGTTGCATACTAAATACTTGATCTGATATGTTATTTATGAGTGTAGCTCTATAGGTTATTCCTATGTATTTAAATGTATGTCTAAATATTCCAAGATTTTTTCAACCAGAAGCATTAAGTTTGACGTAGATATTATTTAAGGCTACTTCTGTGTCTCCGAATGGACATTTTTTGCACTTTTCTATAAATTCAAACAATAACTAACGTGTGAGCCAAAACATTATTTAGTTACCCTTATGTGTTCAGGTTGTATTTCTAAATAGTGTCTTTCGTAAATTTCATTAGATTGCTGCTAATATTTCTTAAGCGCTCTTTCCGGTATATTCTTCGGTATGTTTTCCGGTGAGTTTTTCTTTTTCCACACATGAAGTCCTTATAATCCCGTTATGTGTAGGTGTTTAGCAAGCAGTGTCTTGTTAGCGACCAAGTTAGATCTCTCTGTATTCTATTATTGTTTTTGATTTCATCATCTAACAGTGATATACATGGTTTTGTTAGAAAACATTTGTCATACTTAAGTTGACTGGTAAAATGATCGTCCGTTAAAAAGATTAGTAGCAACTGTACAGTTCTAATTTCTTAAATCCATTATCAGCAAACGAATAATTGGACCGTGTTCTGCAACAATGGTATATTATTTATAATATTATATTCAGCGAAAATGCTGTAAGCTGCATCTGGTCCAGATTATCAATCATTATGAACACAAAACCACATTAGTTGACTCGTCCAACTGCAGCGCAAACAGAACTTTCTTTATTTCCAGAGATAAGGGTTGCTAAAATGTCGTTACTTATGTGGCCTTTACATGCAGCTCACTTCCGTATCATGAGCAGGGAAGTTGGCAGCGCGAGAATGTAAGCACGTCACTCGCGCTGTCATTGCTCATGCCACGGCCGCTGCCACATGCTCCCTTCAGTGGCGGTATTTTGAACGAAAGTCAAAGGACTGGCAGCACGAGCGGCAGCAACTGTTTACATGCTGCCCGCTGTCCTGTACTGTTTCTTTACCAAGTGCACAAAGAAAAACTTGTGTTTGTTGTTGGTTAATTATTGGCACTAATAACATTTTAACCTCAATTGAGTGGAGCAACGACCAAGTGCTAAAGTTTGTTTTTAGAGCTATATGCAACTGAGGGATTATTATGGGATCCTTCACGTAAAGATCATAAAAAAAACACAAAGTAAGCGATGCGTGGTAGTGGATAAGTGAAAACCTAGAAAATGCCTAAAATGAAGAACTGAAGTCTGAGAAAAAAATGCTAATGGCAATATTCCGGCCGCTATTATAAAATAAAAAGTGTTGATAAGGTCTGGAGCGGGTGCCAATGAGGTGTATGTCACATTTCTTTTTAAAACATTTATATTATTTTACAAACTCAAAAAACAGAGCGACAATTTCTACGCCCTCCAAAATTGCTACAGAATAATAGGTAGGCGCAATGGCTGAACTTGCTTCAAAGGCTGCCGTGGAATTATTCAGGACAGGACAGAGGGCAGCGCGAGTAGCAGCGGCAAAGGCTGAATGTAAAGGCAGCATATAATAAGAAATGAAACTGATTTATTTTATTATCTACATACGAGCTGAATAGCTGTTTTACTCCCGCGGGAGTAATTTCCCCCAGGTTTGGAACCGCTGCTCCAGAAGATTTTAACTACTACCCGAGTCAGACACAATTTCTCTACCTTTATAACTAATAAAATCGTTTCCAAAATAGAGCTTGTTTGTGATTAAGAGCAAACCAAACAACTTGAAAATTTTTAATTCCATCTGAGCCTTTATTTCTTAGTCCAATTTTTGAAAAATGTTCAGCAAATACCAATAATAACAAAACGTAGAGTGAAGAAACATTGACTTTTGTAAACCTTCGAAAAGTATTTATTTTGAGAATTTTTAGAAGGAATTAAAAAGACATTTACGCGTTATTATGTATTAAATCTATGAAAAGGACCCCGCAATAATCTTATGGAAATTGGGTTTCTGACAAATTGTCTGAATTTTTGATATGTTGTAGATTTTGTCATCCTGAACAAAAGTCTCCATGGGCACAAAGTACCAAAATGAATATTTTGGCAGCTACGGAGCTGCCAAAGCTCCCCTGACCCGTTGCAGAACTATTCATTTTCAATACTATTTACAGATGTCAAAAGCATATTTTAATTATTCTAATATATAGGGTAATGTTTTGAGGTCACTGGATTCAACCCTCGTGTCAGATTGGACAAATTGACCGTTGACAGCTGTCAATTCACTGTCAACGAGGAATATAAAAGTAAATATCCTCTTTTCACAATGAGAGTTTGGGTGTTTGAGGTCGCTGAATTGTGAACTGTCAATTTATCCAATCTGACATGAGAATTGAATTCAGCGACCTCAAAAACCCAAACTCTCAATGTGAAAAGAGGATATTTACTTTTAAATTCCTCATTGACCGTGAATTGACAGCTGTCAACTGTCAATTTGTCCAATCTGACACGAGGGTGACCTCAAAACATTACCCTATATATTAGAATAATTAAAATATGCTTTTGACATCTGTAAATAGTATTGAAAATGAATAGTTTTGCAACGGGTCAGGGGAGCTTTGGCAGCTCCGTAGCTGCCAAAATATTCATTTTGGCACTTTGTGCCCATTCAGACTTTTGTTCAGGATGACAAAATCTACAACATATCAAGACAATTTGACAGAAACCCAATTTCCATAAGATTATTGCGGTGTCCTTTGCTGCTCTTTATTATAATAAAAATCTAGCAGTTTTTAAATGGGAGGGAGGGGGGTCCCACCTTTTTAGGGAAGGATACCCTATTACCAAGCCTTCGCTGTCCGACTGTCCGACTGTCCGTCTGCCTGTCAGCAGGCTGTATCTCATGATCCGTAATAGGTAGACAGTTGAAATTTTCACAGAATGTGTATTTCTTAAAATAAATTAAAAACTAAAGGTGGCTCCCCTACTGAACACGTGTTTTTTTTTATTTTTTTTTTCTCGATCTTAATAAAGTATTTAAAAGCTGTCCGACTGTCCGACTGTCCGTCTGCCTGTCAGCAGGCTGTATCTCATGATCCGTAATAGGTAGTCAGTTGAAATTTTCACAGAATGTGTATTTCTTAAAATAAATTAAAAACTAAAGGTGGCTCCCCTACTGAACACGTGTTTTTTTTATTTTTTTTTCTCGATCTTAATAAAGTATTTAAAAAGTACCTACATAGTATTAAATCTTGTAAGATGATGCAGAACCCTTCATGAGCAAGTCTGACTTGCACTTGGCCGGTTTTGTTTCTCTTACATGTCTGCAGTATGCTGCCTTATCGTTGCACTAATTTAAAGCTCTCAATATTCTCGAGACACATAACATCGCGAAGCATTCCCAGTGGCGCATATATAAATACAATTTTATATTAGAAAATCCTCATAACATTTATTTTCGCGAGAGGTCCGGTTTGTTCTTATGGAAAATTACTCTGTGGAAAATAATAATAAGAACAATGTTGTAGATATACGGAAACCGCCCAGATGATGGGTAAAATATTTAGGGATGAAGAAATTCCTAGTCTGCAGCGAGCCGTTTACTGGACAGAGTACGTCATCAGACACAAAGGAGCGAAACACCTTCGCAGTCCTACAGTTGATATGCCAGCTTGGAAATATTATATGTTGGATGTTGTCGGGTTCTTAGCCTTTATTTCCTTACTAATAATCGTATTAATATATTTATTGATAAAAGTGTTCATTAGGCTAGTAATTTATATTTTTGCACGGTTGTTTGGTAAGAGGAAACCTAAAATAAAGAAAAATTAAGGTTAGTTTTATTAAGTTTAGTCATGGAATTAGAAGGTAGGGAGACACTATAAGCATCTTTTTCAAACATTCAAAACGGTATCACTGGACGCGGCTATTGCCATGTTGCCAATCAAAATATGGTCATTTTAAAATATATCTATAACAATATATTTAGCAAATAATTTGATCATGCTCAGTATCGTCTAGCACACTATCGTAACTTTCTGATGAAGGATACGTCAAAAGCTTTATTCGCGATTCAAACTAAGTGATACGCCCACGATTAGCTGTTTGAAAGATTTGAACACAATATGGCGAAAGTGAACCCGACTTAGACCACGTGATAACGTCTTTCTACCTTCTAACTCAATGGTTTTAGTCAAATTATTTATTTTGTTTCGTATAAGTATGTTTACTCGCTACTTGAAAGTTGTTATACTTGTACGAAGAGAGTGGGTACACGTCGAATGACTCCGGAATATTTCTTCTCTCTCATGTGCATTAAGTAAGGAAATTGCAGATATACCTTTCAAATAGCGAACCAAGTCTATGTTTATAAACAATGGCACTAACATAGGATTATTTAGAATGTTCATTAAATGTACCTATTTTTATTTTGTATTTATTATTTAAATATTTTTACGATCTAATAAAGACTTTTATTTATTATTATTGTTTTTAAGTGACATATAAAATAAACATTCCTCATATCCTTGTGAGTTAATGTGTCAATCAAATAAAAATATAAAAAAAATATAAATAGTAAGTCAAATTTAATGTATAAAAATTGTTATTTGTAAGGCAGGATCTATGACGGTAAAATTTTATATTATAGAAACTTGTATTAAAATAAACTACACTCTGTAAGATACATATTGTGACTAGTTTACAATAAATATTATATTTAGACAAAAATACATTATTTTACTTACATTAGAAGCTTTAAAAAGACATTTAATTTGTATTCTGTTTTACAATCTGGAACGACGTAAATCTTGCATTGATGTTTTTTGTCACTCATGTTACTTGTACTCAGATACGTTTTTCACATTATTTTGATACTTTTCACCAATTTTTAAAAAAAACCACTTAATTTACATTGACTTTTATAGAAAATTGACACCGCTGTTATTCGACATGCCAACTACAGTCAATTTCGCGAACTTTATAAAAAGAAAGACGGAAATTTGAAATTTGACCATTGCCGATTCGCCTTCTTCTCTCTAGTCTTCATAGTCCGTCCGTCCGATGTCACGTTTTTTGGATGGGGAGTTAAGTGGGGGTTGAGGTTGTAATTTTAAAAAAATATCTAACTCAAAAACGAAAAATGAAACTTGAAATTTTTATCAAAAATTAAACTATAAAAGGGGACAAACCTTATTGATTTGGAAAATATTCTGAATAAAATTGGGGAGGTTAATGGGATTCGAAATTAAAAAAAAAACAAATTAAAAACGAAAATCAATATCAACATGAAATTTTTATTAAAAATTAAGCTCTATAAGAAGATGAAGCTGAATTAAAATGGGGGTTGAAATATTAAAATAAACCTAACTCGAAAACGAAAAAAGATATCAAATTTAAATCTTCACGAAAAATCAAAGTTTATAAGGGGATGGAGCCTATTGATTCTAAAAAATATTTAAATAAAAGTGGACGGTTTAAGGAGGTTGCAATATTTGAAAAATCCTAACTCAAAAACGAAAAATAATATCAAATTGAAATTTTTGGCAAAAATTAAGCTCTATAAGGAGACAAAGTCTGTTGATATAAAAAAAATTGTAGACAAAATGGGTTTTAAGGGGACGTTGAAAAATTGGAAAAAATCCTAAATCAGAAACAAAAAACGTTATCAGATTAAAATCTTCAGAAAAAATCAAACCTTGTAAGGGGATATTTGATTGAAAAGAGGGGTTTAAGGAGGGGGTCTTTTAAACTGTTAATCGTATATTTTTTATATAAATACCAACCACATATCATTCAATAGTCAGTATGGATTTTGTATATAAATATTACATATTATTCCGCATTATATTTTTAATTACTTTGTTGTTCATATGATTATAAAAATTATTTGCTTAACTGTAAATATATCAAAAAATATTATTTATTTAAAAATTATCAATCCTGAGTAAACCATGTATACTATAAACAAATAATGGTAGGTATTGTATCATTGTTGAATATTTTGTATAGATATTTTAGATAAGTTTTGTCGTTATAGTTTAAACAGCTTAATTGTAATTTATAAAAATGTATTTATTTGATAAAAAATCACGTTTTTATAATTAAATTACCATTTTTCGCTATTTTGTTTTTAGTGAAAATACAGTAATAATGATGTGCATCATTGATTTGTTGACATTAGTGTTTAATAATATATATTGTTCTATTTTCTCAAATATGTAAGTATACATCAATTTATTCCTAGGCGAAGATAAGATTTCTCTGCGGCTGTTACCTCTACATTAGGAGAAACATTTATTACACCTGCCGTTTCTGAAATATTAGGTTGTCTGAAACCAGCCCATACCCTTCGGAAAGACTTAGTTCGAGAGACGCACTCCAACCTCAAACTGCGGAAACGCATGGGAAAGGTATTAAGGAGGTCCTTTCGCCACACCTTTCGCCACCAATGTTAAATAAAAAATATTAGATTATGACTAAAATTATTTTTCTTTTCTAATAGTTGAAATCCTTATTTATCCAATAGTGAACTTTTAACTATACCTTACAAATTTTTGAGAATTTTTTTTTTTTTTTAATGTGAGTATTTGTACAGTGTCTTACGAGAAAGTAAGACCTCAACAACAATTCTCGAATTATACTATTATTTATTGATTAGATGGAGTAGAAAAAAACTAAAAATTAGGTTTTTGAAATATTTAGGTTTTGTTTTTTACAATAAAATATATAGGTTACCGTGGAATTTATTGAGAAATTAATTTAAAAAAAATATTTCAAGTAACCTAGTTGAAAATTTTTTGTGATTTTTTAATATTAATTTCTCAACAAATTCTACGGTAACCTATATATTTTATTGTATAAAACAAAACCTAAATATTTCAAAAACCTTATTGTCAGTTTTTTTCTACTCTATCTAATCAATAAATAATAGTATACTTAATTATAATTGGAAAATTGTTGTTGAGGTCTTACTTTCTCGTAAGACACTGTACAAATACTCACATTTTTAAAAAAAAAATATCAAAAATGTGCACGGTAAGATATAGTTAAAAGTTCAACATTAGATAAATAAGGACTTCAAATATTAGAAAAAAAATAAATTTTACTCATAATCTAATATTTTTTATTTAACATTGGTGGCGAAAGGGGTGGCGAAAGGACCTCCTTAACAGTGTTTTTATAATTTCTAAAGATACATTTTTTGTAATTGCAACATGTGTCAAAATGATCTACTTTACGCAACCAGTTTTATAATGTTGAACATTATGAAACTGATTTCAAAAATTAATTGTCATCAGTTGCGAAAAGAAAATAAATAAAAATAATCCTTTTTTGATTTTAAAATTAATAATATACATTATTATTGAAAGTTTATATCAAAAAAGGTCGGATTGACTTATAAAAATAGAATTTGGTTAAACTTACAACCTAGTAATAATTTTGTTCCAAAACAACATTATTAGGTAGTATCAAATCTTATTTTTCATTCAAAATTTGCAAAAAATAATTAACACACAATACAATAAGTCGTTGAGAATAAATTAATATGATTTTCTATTTGTCAATAAAAGAATGAAGTTAATCTTATGTAACCAACAATAGAAGAAAGTAGTAATATTGGTTGCCTAGATGTCAGTAATTTTTTACCAAAACTCAGTTTTATAAATAATCTAGTCAAAATTAGAAAGAATATTGTATGTAACACGTTACAAAATACCATTTTTATGTAAGTCGTTCATGTTACGGGACCTTGCTCAGACATATCCTGCGTTTAGTAAATGAATAGGTACCTATTTCGAGATGTTTGCTAGCAACCAAATAGGTGAACAAATTAGTCATAAACACATGATAAATATTATATTTATGACGAAAGTCCGGAAACTAAACTTAAATTAACACTAAATGAGATTCAAAAACACTATTATAGTGAGAATTTTATCTAAAAACAGTTAAAAAATGAGAAATACAAAATCCCGCCCAAAACAAACAATGTAAATAAACAAATATCCTACTTATAGGTGACAAATGAAAACAATCGTTGAAAGCGACAAACTTCTTAAAACACATGATTTTGATTGTATGTGACTCATTACTTTTGCAATTGCAGCGATTAATCTAATTTTTAATTTACTACTTCTAATTTCTATTATAAAGGTCTAATTAAGATTTTCTTGCTTCATATAATGAAAATACTTTAGATTTCTCAAGATTCAAACGCTTGGTTAATACATATGTATAATTAAATTCTCATAATCTAGAATAATTATTATCAAAATGAATATCAGAATTAAGGCTTTGTTAAGGATTTCAATATTTGGGGATAACACAATTACGAATACGAATAATAATACTTTTTTTTAGTTGACAATAAAATAAAAATGTTTGTTCTAAAACAGTGTAAATGCGGGCCAGAACAATTTACTATTACAAATTTACAATCCAATATATATGCATTTATAAGACATGGACAGAAACTGCCCTGGTACAGTTGACTGATGTAATCCAGGATGCACTGACAAACAAAGAAACGGTCGTGTGTGCCTTTCTAGACATAGAAGGAGCTTTTGACAACACGCCACACGAATCTGTAAAAAGAGCACTTGCATACAGAGGAGTAGATAACATCACATCCAGATGGATGGCTCAGCTGTTATCTTCGAGAACTGCAGAGACACAGATAGGGCAGGACACCATCTCCATCTGCACAACCAGAGGATGTCCACAAGGAGGAGTTCTATCCCCACTAATGTGGAGCCTAATCGTAGACGAACTTCTATGCAGATTGACTGACCTCGGCATACCCTGTCAAGGTTATGCCGACGACATAGTCATATTTGCTAGTGGCAAGTTCAGTAATATCCTGTGTGATATAGTCCAAAGAGGACTAGAACATACCAAAAGATGGTGCCGTGAAGTGGGACTTAGTATAAACCCTACAAAAACAACACTAGTAGCCTTTTCAAGGAAAAGAAAACTTAATCTCAAAACCGTTAAATTAGACGGGATAGATATAGAATGGAAAAATGAAGTCAAATATCTAGGCCTAACCCTGGACAACAAACTTCTCTGGAACACACATGAGAAGGAAGTAGTAAATAAGGCC